TATCATTAAAGGAGGTACTTGGAACTTGTCCTATTAAAGAAATAGACGTTCAGTTCCCTCCCACCGCTTTGCTCGGATTACAGTTCCCTAACCGCCGTCACTTAGAGGAACAAGAAGGCATGAAAAAGCATCGGCGTCTGTTAATAATTAACGAGGGCGGTGCATAATGTAAAACTGGAACTGCCCAAAGCTCACTGACCAATCTCGCAAGTCGGTCTTTTGGCTGTGTCATATTAAGAATGTGAGTCAGGGCTTGGTGGCCTGTGAACAACTTGAACGGAGCGAAGCGTCTTCCACATACGGCAAAAACAGTGATCAGCCTTCAGAGCTGCCATTGCCTTTTCTTCAGTGGCCGCAAAATACAACTCCGATTTGTTCAACGTATAGCTGTGGTAGCCCGCCATTAGAAGCTGCTAGTGAGCGGGCTGCTTTGCGTCTCGCTGGTAAAGCACGGCCTCTGTCCTATAATGAGAGGCGTCCGTGTTTAGATCGATCGGGAGTGCAAAGTCTGGTAAGATAAGATAGGGTCCGACGAAATAGCTTGAACCATATCTCGGTACGCTCTCTCAAACTCTTTCGTCCAATCAAAGATCACATCCTTCTGCGTGAGCCTAGTGAGGCATTTTGGTTTCAGTGCGTAGTTTTTAATGAATGCTCTGAAGCGTCCCTGCCAGTCCATGGAGCACTCGGAGAGAGTGTACGTCATATGGCTTAACAAGTTGTACTGGCGGTCATTAAACCGCCAGTACAAATAAACTTGTTTGCAGATGATTGCTTAGTTTACTCACCCATTAAGACATCCGAAGACCAGGCAGCATTAAATGACAGTTTGGACTATATCAAACAGTGGTGCTTCCAATGGCAAATGGAAATTAACTTCAAAAAGTCATCCTATACTCACGTCACTAATAAGAAGAATGTATCTCTGTTTCAGTATCACATTGGGAATGTAGAACTAACAAAAGCAGAAACTTTCAAGTATTTGGGGGTAACGGTAATCCAAAACTTAAAATGGCAGCCACATATCATCAATATCTGCGCAGCTGCGTATAGGAAATTATGTATGCTTAGAAATAAACTAAAAAATAGCAATGAAGAAATAAAACTTACGGCCTACAAAACTCTAATACGACCCACTCTAGAATATGCCTCTGTCGTTTGGGACCCCGCAACCAAGACTGACATAGACAAGCTCGATAGAATACAGAGGAAGGCTGCACGTTTCATAACTTTAAATTACAAATCAACGTCCTCTGTGACAGAAATGTTGAGTGCCTGCGGGCTTGAACCCTTAGCGGTTAGGAGAAAAATTGCACGCCTAAAGTTTTTGTTTTTGATTTATCATGGACAAGTAAAGATCAACCGAGACACTTATCTTAGAAACATAACCAATAGATCAGATAGATTAAATCATTCCAAAGCATTGCAGTCGTATCTGCCCAGAATCGATGTTTTCAAGTGTTCCTTTTTTGCAAATACAATTAACGATTGGAATAAGCTTCCCGAACATATCGTAAGTCTCAACGATGTTTCAGTGTTCGAAGACGCCGTTAGACTTTTTTACTCTGTTTAAAGAGTGATCATATTGCCTTAGTGTTATTTCGTCTTTTTTTTTTTCTTTCTTTCTTTTTGGGGTTAAATACGCATATATTACGTGATACTTTAAATATTGTACTGCTTTTTTTTTCGTATATAGTGTTTTTGTACACGGCACGTGCCCTCAGTTATTAGTTATTGGTGATAATATTTGTCAGTATATTGTCATTGTTAAATTTATTATCACTTTTTACGTGCGTTTAGTGCTCTTGTTTTCTATTTTGCGCTCTCGGCGCGTTTTGTATTTAATCTTGTAACCACTTTATTGTTCGTAGCTCTGTTGGAGGTATGAGTCATATTCTTTTTTTTTTGTGTGTGTGTGTGTGTTTTTTTCCTCCCTGCCACGGCCCCACGGGCCAGCAGTATGTACAAATAAATAAATAAATAAAAAACAAGTTTGGAAATCCTCGTTACAGGCTATTGTGCTTTTTGTAGCGCCGTTAAAAAGTCTGCCGAGGAAAACTACCTCGGTCTGGAAGAGCTCGCTCTTTTTGAAATTAACCTTCAGTTTTGCGGAGCTGAAACCTGACAACCCTTGTAATAAGTGTTGTCGGTACTCCCCTTTGTTTTCGAATCGACGATGATGTAATCAATGAACACGTTGCAAAAAATCCCCAGGTACGAATTCAGGACCTGGTTCATCATCTTCCAGCACCACTCAGGGAAATCATTTCAACCAAATGGGAGGCAGTTATACTCATTTAGGTCAAAAGGCATTGTGAAGGCTATATACATCTTGGTTTCTTCTTCTAAGGGCACCTGCCAAAATCTCTTGCAGGAGTCAATTCGCGAAAAGTATCGGCAACCTCCTGTATCATCAGTGGTGGCTTCGATTCGAGGCATAGGGAAAGAGATTAGATCAATCTGCTTGTTTGAAGCATGGTAGTCCGTGCAGAGCCTGAAGGTCCCGTCCTCATTGGGAGCAATGGTGATAGGTGACGCAAACGGAGATGCCGAAGGCCTGATGATGTCTGCATCAAGCTTGTTTTGCAACTGCTGCTTGAACCACGCCTCCTTCTCTCTGGTTATGGTATAGGGCTTTTTACGCACAACTTTCTTGTCACCGATGTTAAAGGGCACTGTGAATTCAAAGAACAGCTGCCAATGTTGAACAATTCAGGGAATAACTTAAAAATGTCTTCAGGCGCGGTAATAAGCTTTGGCAGCGGAGTGCTTAGGCGATTGCTGGCCAACTATCTGCAGTCAGCCGCCTTTTCTTTTTTGACTTCATCATCCCAGTGGATGTTTATTTTTGCCTTTTCATGTCTGTCCGGGATGGTATAAAGTCATTATCCACTCCGGCAATCACCAGAGCGACAACTTCAATACTTTGTCCCTTGACGTTAACGGTGACAGTTGTCCCTTCTGCCTAAAAGTTGTTCTTGCCGTCATAACTTTGAACTTGAATAGTTTTTTCTAAGTAGGTTTTCAATACGTCTGTCTTTGTCTTGTTGATGATCGATATTAGGGCGCCGCTATCAAGAAGGGTACGCGTCTTACGCCCATCAATATCAATGGTGATATGTAAGAAGCTGGAGGATAAGTACACAGCCTAATTAGGCATCTTTGGGTGAGACTGACCGCTCTCCTTTATTCGTTTTCTTGTTTCTTGTCCCGAACCTCCTGGCTGCTTCTTGACATTCGTAAAGCGTACCGCCTGGTTCTGGTTAGACTTGTAGCTTGGCTGTTCCTACGAACTCCTTTGCTGACGAATATCGTTTGGTGTTGTTCGCTGCGTTACAGCGTTATGTTGAAAATTTATATTTCTGACATGGCTGTATTTATGTGTCATGAGCGTGATGCAGCTCGAGGTGCAAAACTTCTGTCGATGGTGTTACTGGAAATGTTGATGTCTTGCAAGCTCTGAAGCAAGTCGTCCACGGATGTAAATGTCGGGCTTGTACATGTTTTTAGACTTCATGTTGAAGTCCATGAAGTATCAATATTATTTTTGCTAACTCTGTCAGGTGGGATTTGGCAAGTTGCAGGAGCTTTCTCTTCTAAAACAATAATCGAGGAGCAGGCCTGTCTTGAATTTGTAAAAGATAACTTGATCCCAACTGTCTACGGGATTCCTCTTGAAACTGGTGAGAAGACTTGCCTCCCAATCATTCCAGCTTGCTTCCGGGTGATCCACCAGGCAAAGTTCAAATCACTTTTTTGCGACTCCCGTCAAAAAATGCACATGCATATTGATGTGGTTCTGTTCTGAGGTCCAGACGTTCTTTTATGAAGCATACTCAAGGAAGTTAATCTATCCTTTCGGACTCGATGATTATCCATCAAGCATGTCTGGCTTAACAGTTTTAGCTCTACGTCGGTTCTTTCATGGAAGATACGACGGCCTGTATCAGCTCACTCTGCTGGGTTATATGCTATTGCTGTAGCTGAAGGCCATGTAGCATTATTGTCGTGCTCAAGGTGGATATCGAAGTCTCTTTCGACACTCTCTGACATAGCCGTCGCACCACTTCTTCGAAAACTGGCAGTTGAAGGTTTACCTTGACTGATCTTGAGCTGAGAAGTTCCGTGATTTCCTTCTTTGCCATCTGTGTGACCAGCTCAACCTACCGCGGTGTGCTAACATGTGGAGGAAAATCTATCATGGTATCGCCTTGAGCATTGTAAATCGAAAATACAATTTCTTTAAGAGAACGGATCTATTTGAAGGTTACCGACCTTTTTCGGGTGTTGTTGACTGCGCCAAATTTGTAGTGGTCTACGAATTATTGCTACACAGGGGAGGCGAATCAGACCGTTTATTCAATCTTACTTTTTTCTTAATTCTACTGCCCGCTAGCCTTGATCGTCGTCCTCTTCTTTCATTACCAGGCTCATTTCACTAATTTATTTTATTTGGCTTGTAAAATTGTTAGAGTGTTTTAATTTCAGTAAAACACAGCGCAAAGTAGATAACTTTCTTGGAAAGCCCATTGTCTGCTTACTGATATGCCACACACTCTAGAAAGGACAGCCTCTTGTTCCCGATTTCTAAGCTTTTTTTTAAAGTTATGAATCTAAACAAATTAACAAGTTGCGTAGTAAAAATCCCGGCAAGTTGGTTTTTATAAACGTTTATTTTTCACGAGTGCATCATGACTCATCAATAGTGTGATGCTGACTACATTCTGTCCCTAGTAATTCAACACGAGTATGTCATTTGAATTTTATTGCTTTAGTAAGAAACGCGCGAATTTCTATTTAAAGATATGTCGTTATCATTTGTGCTCGTCAAAATAATTATAATGTTTTCAAACTAAATATTTCAGACGACGTCATATTTAATTACTTATTGTTTCATTCATATCCTATCACAAATTTAGGCTTTAATCTAGCGATTGTTTAGATAGGCAACTCTCTTGGGAATGCTGTTTTGGGCTGAAATAAGTCCAAAGGTGAACTACCTTTGATACATCCACAGGAGTTCCCTCTTGCGCTGTGTTTGCTGCAGTTGCTGTGATGGCCAGAACGAGACCAAGGCAGCTTAACAGAAGTGGGCACGCTCCACACTGCAGGCACCAGGCCATCTTTCTTGTTTTCACCATGAGTCTTGGCTGTGAAAACGTCTGGAATCTGTGTCACACACCGCATAAAAAAAAAATTAATCTAAAATTGTGACTGGAATGTTATACACCATGGCACCTAAAGACTAGTATTAAAAATACATAAGTGGTACTCCAAATACTACAATAAGCTGTCCAGCACGGTTGGTCAGGGAATTATGTGTGAAAAACAACGCATTGATTTATTTAATCAAAAGGGATGATCTCCAAGAAATTATGATCATATTCTAGCAACTAGAAAGATGTCCTTCTAGGACTTGTCTTGTGTAAGTATATTTTTTTCCTGAAGCACTGTAAATATTTATAAAATTCAAAAAGTTTTGAATTGAAAGGTACCTTTTTGAGACCGCGTTATCAGTAGCGACACGTACCAAGGAGAAATAATAAACTTCAGATCATCATTAGAATAGAATGCCCTGATCCAGTTGTTTGCAATTATTGAATGCGTTATACATATATATATATATATATATATATATATATATATGACATTGAAATTACTCATCAGCTTGATATGTAGAAATTCTGTAACAATGCGGACGGTATCGAAAGTTACCCAAAGGCACCATGGGCGACCTTTTTATATTGTATTACTGTATTATTAAACGTGATCTTGGTGCGTTCCCTACTATTGTCTTACTTTAAATTATACGGTCAATCTGCGCTAACTGTATTTTTATATTTTTATGGCGTCATGTGCTTTTCAGCTACGTGATTAAAAAAAAAAACCTTTCGATTTTTTTTTATATTCCTAACAAAATTGACCAACCATTTTTTGTTTTGTTTTTGAGGGTGTTTGTTTCCTTGTCTATAAAATATTTTAATAATTAGTATTTTTACATACATTTGTTACATACATTGTAGAGTGCATTATTAGAAAGATACCTGGCATTTTTATTATATTGGTGATTATGACTATTTTGTTAAGGAAGGCAGATTTTAAGTCTTAGCGATCGAGACTCTTATAGCATGTTTCAAGTGATAATTATATTCTGCGTTCTTTGGGTTATTTTCGTTCTATTTGCGTGTTTCGATGTTGGTGCGAATTTTATTTTAGTTTCATTCAATAGCGTCATTTATATTGCGCTGCGAATGCGCGTTGTACTGGTTAAAATTTTAGGGGGCTATGGGACCCGTTACCCGGCGGTACGTTTTCCTTGTCTCTTTAAAAAACAAAACAAAAAGAAACAATAGAAACGCCGCCTGAAGCTAGATTTCATTTACTACATTAATGACCTGATCCGCGACCTTTGACGGTTTCTCATCTTTGTCTTTGTGAAACACACCATCAAAGGGAAAATTGGAGCGATACTTCTGCGCCACCAACATGTCATGTTCTGTCATAGCACAACAGCGAACTTCATTTTCACAAGCAGAAATAATATTTTAATATTTGGAACGCCTACGTTCATCTAGTGTACACAATCTTGGTTTCATAATGCAGAATATGCCTTTTTATTCACCTCACGTTCTATTTTTCATCTTGCTGCCGCTATGATATCAAAAAAGGTTGCGAACCAATAAAGCATGGCGCTGCTTTTAATGCGAAAGCATTAACTGGGTCCCACGGGGAAAACCGGCGTTATCAGCTCTTGAAGCCGTGTGAAACGGCGCCTAAAGTTTCCTGCCCCATGGAGCGAAGCCTGTAGTCTGTAGCAGCGAAACGGAGGATAAACTCCCCTTCCCTGGCGCGCGCCCTAGTTCCAAAAAACCGCCACTCCATGGCGCTGCGGGCCCACGCGCCGGTAAAAGGAACACGGTTACGCGCGCTCGGCCGATTCTGCCCCTCTGGGCGCTGACCAACATGCGCCGCCTCAAGCACGTACTTACACCGTCGGCGCCTGCGAAACCCCGCGGAACACACCGCGGCGTTCAATTTAAGATTTCATACTTTCGCATTTATTACTAAAAAAAAGTGCTTAGGTGCCCTCGGATTTTTGTTACGTCTACTGTCTTATATTCGAATAAAATATATATTTCTAGGTAAATGACATACATCACGCTTTTATTTTTTTTTTATCAGCCCGTGGCATTTGAATATATGTGAAACAAACGAATTAATGAAATATATTCGATATTTTTTTTAACGTCCTGTATTTGCTTTGCTAAGGCTATGCGAATCGCACTTATTGTTATCACCAAATGTGAGGTGTTATTTTTATAATGCTGGCAATACTTTAACAGTTTCAGCAGCCACCGCATTAGACTAAGCAATGAATTATTTGAATATATACCTCCAATTAAATGCAGAAAATGGTTGATCAATGCAAGCCTTCTTAATACCAAACGCAAATTCTCAAAAAAAAAAGAAGTTTCACAAATATTTTGTTATTGCTTCCTGTTCAATTTTTTTCTTGGTAATTGTGTGCTGATTACGCACCGGGGTAGATGTATTTTTTTTACATTAGCATTTGACCCGACCTGCCATACCTTTGAAAGGATGTTTGAATCCCGAATGCCTACTTTTATTTCTTGTTGATAGATATCCAACACAAGAAAAAATAGAATGTAATCGATATTGTCGTTTAACAGACGAAAAGCAAACACCAGCAATTTTTGAGAATTTGGGTGAGTACCTTTTTGTTGTTTTTGCTTTAAACCTATGTCTGGGTATAAAGAAAGAAAACGAATTGACTTGGCACGTGTCTAACAAATGTTGGTGCTGATCTTAAGTATTCGGGGAAGTCTTAACAAATGCAACCGGTAATCAACAGGTTATTTGCCAACTAAGCAATCTATCTACAATTTGAAAGTTGGGTTGTAACATAACATGCAAAGTTTTTCCCATTACGAGAACCGAATGAAACATACATTACATGAACAACTCAAGGACTAGGTGCTTGTTTCAAACTTGTCCGCCATATTTAAATAGGGTACGATCGATGCGTAGATACCGTCTTCAAGAGATGTTTATCGAGTTCGGCGGGCATTAGGTAATGAATTGGGGGATAAGCGTCACAATAGCTAGCCGAATTAGATTAAATAGGTACCTTAATAATTCTTCGATTGATCTGGAAAAAGGCAACTGGTTTTCTGATTTTTCTTGGTCAGTAATACAAGCATTACAATTTTTGTCAGTTGAGCGGTGGCACTTTCGGCATTAATTTAGAGCTGGTTTACTTGTGACCAAGTCCACGCTCCCAGAAATACCGCACAGTGTTCAGAAACTTTTTACGAAACACGCAAACTGTGACTTATGAAGGCCCCTGAAAAAGAGAGTAGTGATATCTGCCTTCTTCTCTTAGGCGCACTGATTTATCCTTATTTGAAATAATATTTCTGGCTCTTTCGCACTTATGCGTTCACGGTAGCAGCGTCGACTGCTCCACTTGAAGATAGCAGGCGGCCTTCCTGTATATTGTTTGAACTTGATCCAGAACGCAGTCAAAGGTTAAAGGACGCAAGCCGATTAGCATAATTAGCCATTTTGTCGCAGCATACTCACTCCTCCCCTCCTCATCCCCAGTGCTCTCACTTTTATCTTTATTTTCCACATTTCGCACTCGCGCGTCGACATCAACGCCGACTGAATCACTTTGAAATAGCAATCTGCATTCTTAAAAAAATGTTGTACTTTTTTTTGGTATTGTGGGCACTCTGGTGGCACCCCAGCCCAGTTGCCCGACTGCGGGGCACAGGTGGCGAACTTTCCCGCGTGGCGGCGGAATCAAGTCAGCCACGCGCACATCGCGTGCGCCGCCTTGATAAGGCGGATCAGAGGCGGCGCACAGAGAGTCGCTGCCTCGACTCAGGCGCTGCCACACTCTTAGAAAAAAGGGTATGGATAGTCCTCTCTTAGGGGAGGAACGGTCTTGTAACCTATGATCCTTTAGAAACGGAGAAACCTTCGTCCCTGAAGCAGGGGAGCAAAGTTCCTCCGTCGCCTGCATCTCAATATGGCAGCCCCGAATCGAGCAAATCCAGCCCAATAAGGCTTGACGAGGACGCTACGTCTCTTGTACGGGACGAGAGGAGCAGCAAATAAAAGCGTAACACGAGCTTTCCGCCAACTGTGTTTATTTCCGAATCCAGATTCCCCCCGTAGGTACAGAAACTTGCGCTTTTAAAGCAGTTACTCAGTCTTCTAGTCGACAGCACTTCGATGTTAAACGTAGACAACCGATACTCAGTTACTTCGCGCACTTTGCGTCTTACCTTTGGGGATCCTCCACCATACACACATTACGCTTATTACAAGCATCAGGTGAACATACATTGAGCACATACACGGCGCACACAAATATCAATACAACGGAGCACCACACTGACCCGAACACTACACCCGTGCTCTGCGTTTCCGTCTTTTATACTGGTCGTTTTGAACGTACGGAACTTTTCGGTGACTCCCTAAGCAATAAAACATATTCCCAGCATTGTTGATTTTTTCCCAGCAATGTCATACCTCTGAGAGTATTTTGAATGGCTCAGGGAATGAATCTCTTATTAAAAAGTAAACGCTCGATCATGCCGTAATTCTTTGAAAGCCAATAAATCATGCCGCTCCAATCTGGTTCGAGGCCATGAGTTTGCTTCCCCACACGGCACGTGGTAGCCTGTATTTCTATTGGTTTTTCTATTAGTGCTGTTCGCGCAAAGCTGCAATTGCCGTCTTGAATTGATCTCTGTAGAGGGGATATTCACTCAGCTGGAAGTCATGCTTCACGGGCTGAGAAATCGCTTTTCGATCAACTTGAATGCAGTCAAAGCCTCGACTTGCGGCAGGTGTTAAGTGTACGGAGCTACGCCGTGGCGAGCCCGAAAACTTCTAGCGCTCATCCCAGCGCGCCACTTGGAGGGCAGTTTCTCCATGAACCGTAGTATATTTAAACAGCAAAAATAAAGGGTAGCTTTTTTTTCGATTTTACGTATTGTTTTTTAATGCCGAAATTCCATACTGTAAATATACGTACTTTCCGTCACGATTTCGTACTGTTCAGTCCTTGCCCCAAAGCGCAATCGCTCTCGGGGACGAGACAATTCCGACAGTCACATTGGCCACTGTACGATAGC